ATCACACCTCCTCCTCTGTGTTTCACAGTGAGAACCATGCATGTAGCGACCATCCATTCACCTTTTCTGCATCACCCAAAGACACAGTGTGTGGACCAAAGATCTCAAATTTGAACTCATCAGACCAAAGCACAGATTTCCACTAGTCTAATGTCCACTCCTTGTGTTACTTAGCCCAAACAAATCTCTTCTGCTTGTTGCTTTTCCTTAGTTGTGGTTTCTTAGCAGCTATTCGACCATAAGGTACATTTTGTTAAATGAACTAACTGTTGTGGAAAGTAAAAATCACAGTGATTTAACATTAAAATCTGTTTAGAATTTGCAGATTGATGATGATTAATTTCACGAGTCTTGACACATTCCTTTCCCCTGCATAAGCTACCTCTACAAGTTTAAACTATTGGTACTGGTATCAGCAATATTGGTGCTGCATTTATCACAGTACTGCACAGCACTACTAAGTGGATTCAGTGACAGGCAGTTATTGCCATACCCTTTTTTTACAGCCCTCCTGCCCCATATAAACCGCTCACCTGCCTGCAGACTTGTCACTGGAGGCATAACCCACTGAAGATCAGACCTCAGCACAATCCACTGAACACCATCACCATGGTACGTGGACTTTCTCTGCGTGAACAATAATCTGCATCTGTTACCTTAGTTGTGGCATTATATTCTATCCTGATGTATGTGACCATTTGCTTTGATTCTGTGGCTGAACCTCATACTCTGCCGTTTCATGGTTTACTTTTCTCGTTGCATATACAGTAGTCAAATAGTCATATATTTCAAACGCATAGACTGAATATTAATGAGGCTGAGGAATAAAAAAGCTCAGAGCTTGTGTATCAACCAGTAATATTAATAGAGCGTGTTTTATAGAAGTGATGATGGCTACATATATTCTGTGAACATGCGTTTTGTATACAATAGAGAATCTCCCTTCGATTTTGATTTTGCTGAGGCTATAACCAAATTTAGGCTTTAAGTAACAGTCAAGAAAATACGTAACCCTTGCACTGATTGTGCTCACCTTACAGTTATAAGTATATAAGAGATAATTCTCGAGTCACAGCCTGGTAACAGAAGAAAAATCCTATTCTAAGATTTACCATATGCCACAGTTGAATAATCTGAATAATTCAAATCCCACAGAGGGATTAATAATGTATAGCTTGACTTAATGATCTTCCATCAAATTCCCTGTGAAGTCAGTGATAAACCAGCATGAATCTGAAATGGGTGAGCAGATTAAACCGAGGAATCTGTGGGTGCAGGACTGGAATATAGGGTCCAGCATGATGAAGTTCTTGTTTGCCCATCAGGTGATGCCCAGCACATAAATAGGAAGATTAGATGAAAAGAAGAACAGTTTATTGCTTTATTGATCAGGTGAATAGGTTCACTGACTTTGTTAAACATTGTTTAAATGTCATGTTGGGTTTCTCATTTGTATACATGTGAAATCGATCTTTAAACACATAAAATCGATTTAGCCTTCCTTCATTTCTCTGTTTGTATAATTGTTAATGGGCACATATTGTACAAAGACATGCTAGACATGACTAGTGTCTGAAGAGCTATAGATCACTGTGTGGGTGGGGTTTTTTTTTTATGGCGACCACGTCAGTGAACAAATACGACACCTTCCTGTTTTGTTAATTTTACAACCGTGGGTACATTGTTTTACCTCGGTTGATCATCAACTGCTAAGATAAGACAAGCGCTAATCATCAGTTTGCTCATGGCAGTTCCGCTGTCTCAAACCATCATGTAGATAGTTCCTAAAATTTAATAAATAAAACTGATAGACCAGATCTATACACACTTCTACATCCAAGAATGAGCATGAGTACTGAAATCTTCCTATTATTATTATTATTATCATTATTTCATCCTGTCTTCCTTCTAAGAAGCAAACTAAAGCTCTGAAAGAATGCAAGAATTGGTTTATTTTTCAATGTGTCTATTCCTATGTCGCTTTCCTTTACAGAAAATCCAGGATATGTCAATCAAGCAGGGCTTGGAGTTAAAAGTCCGCGTCAAGCCTGGTGAGAGTGGTGACAGGTGAGTCCTTCTCCTAAGATGTTCATGCTGAGTGTGTCCTGTCCATTTTACACAGCAAAGTCGATTTAGTTATCTGTCAGGAAGCAGCGAGTCGAGTTCATGTTCCATCCTCTCCTCTCCTTCCCGCATCTGTCGCAGTTTTGCCATCAACATCGGTCATGATCGTGAGAACATCGCCATGCACCTCAACCCCCGGTTAGACTCCAACACCATCGTCTTCAACTCTTTATCCGGGGGTAGCTGGGGTGACGAGATCCACGAATCAAACTTCCCTTTCAGACGTGGAGAAGAATGCAAGGTTTGTATGAAGACGTGTGGCGTCTGAAAAATGTAGTCACCAACACACAATACACTCTGAAGAGGTTCGAATGGTTTAAGAAGCAAGGCTTTTATACACTGACATAACCAGTTTAACATCAATGCAAATGCTAAAACACAGTTCTCCAGACGACAGAGAACAAAGTCATCTGTGTTACTGGACTGAGTGCCAATTTCACAATATAAATGAAAGCTCATAAAAGTTACAACGTCTCAATTGTGTATATAAGTCAGATGATAACGTTAACTAAGACGGGGCCTTGATTTGCTGATCCTTTGATTTATAACATCTTTGCATGTCACTCTATGGGCAAGGTTTTATAGCTGATAGCTTTAAAAAATGTAATTGTACTCTTAGACACACACACACACACACACCTGCTGCACTTTAATTTAAAGAGTATTCAGGTAAAGCACACCCTGGGTAAATGAACTGCATTTCCAAGCTGTTATCATTTCTTTGACTATCAGGGTGTAATTAATGGGTTTGGTGCCTGCGCTGTAAGCTGCTAGGTCAACGGGTAATCACGACAGGCTTTATGGGCCCATAAAAGTTAATAGCTGTTGAGAAAGATTGCCCCAGATGTTTCTGGAGGAGGATTTTCTGTCGAAACTGCAGCTTTCTTACAGTTGTGTAACAATGAAATTCAAGGAACTGTTTACTTTCTTGGAAGGGGATCTGCTTGAAGTACTTATCTATAGTCAGTGAATCATCTGTAGTAGATAGCTGCATGCATGGCCACGTTTGGGAGAGGCAGGAGTAAAAGCATCTAACTGCAGTATACTGTGGACAGAGTCAGAAGCAAATGATATAATATCAGCATCTGATTTGTTTTGTTTTTTAATTTGAAGATTCTTACTGTTTTATCTTGCCTTCAGCCATGTACGCAACCGGAGATGGTTGGCGCTGTTAAACAGAGGCGGCCAGAGTGCCAGGCGGCATGGACACCCAAGACTGTAAATGCGATAACTCAAGAAAGGGTCGATATTGGTGTATACCATAGGTGTATCTACAAGGAGGCTGAGGGGTAGCACTTGTGTCCACATGTATTTTTAAAATCTGCTTGGATGACAGACACAGTCATGCTCATGTCACCTAGTATCAACTAGGTGACATGAGCACCTTGATATGATATTGATATTTATAACCTGGGTTTTTGTTTTTTTAATAGATGGCTAAAATAAATTTGCAGCTGACTGCATCCACAGCAGCTTAGGTTCTGTCCGTGTCTGAGCCCAAGCTTCAAAAAAACAAAGGTATCCTTTTAACCAAACGATAAATGTCATTCACTTCTCTTTTTCTCCCTCTTGCTTTTTCTTACTTCTTCAGTTTTACATCAACTTCAACAACGAGGAATTTTACATCAAGCTTCCTGACGGCAGCATGATTACCTTCCCCAACCGCCTGGGTGATGTCAAGTACAAGTACTTCGATGTGAGCGGTGATGCGAGAATCATCGGCCTCAAGCTGAAGTAGAGGCTGACCTCTTCTTAAGCCCCAACCCTTCACCTCTCTACGTTTTGCTTGTTGCTAAAACATTCTCATGTTTTTCAATAACTGAAATTAGGTTTGACTGCTAATATGAAATCTGAAAAGTAACTCTGGAAATGTCAACTGCTTTAGATTGCTGATGTTGTAATGAGAGGAAATGGCCTTAAGATGGAGCCCCGGCACATCTTACCTTACTATGGTTGGAGGACAGCTCAGCAAAGCTGGATTTGTTAATAAAACCCTAAAAGAAAAGAGTCTTCTTCATTTACTTCCTCTGAAATATGAAACACCACATGTAATTTACACCTACATGTTCTAAAACATATTTCAGACCTGTTTCAGGGTTTAATTTTTATATCATTGTAACGTACAAGAGTAAAAGCAGTGGGTGTTTAAAAACACTAAAAGAAGATGCCAACGCATTTTTGTCAATGTCTGTAATTCAAAAGCAGAATTATTATTTTTTGCCTCTTTTTTTAAAGTTATGCAAAGTTTAAAAAAGAGGGAGAAAAAAGAAAACCCAGAATTGTATTGGTCATTATCTTTAATATGTGATGAGGAAATAGGTTAAAAAAAGAATAAAGGTCGACATGGAAAAGGAGGTGAGGTGGGAGATGTAACACACACTTATACAGACAATTTACAGGAGGACTCAAAAGACAAGCATCTGGAGGCTGAGGAATGTGGCACAGTGCAACGACATTTCATAGATAGAGATGAAAAGTATTTGTCTGTAAAGCTGTTGGCAAATTGGGCCATTACAAAAATATGAAAACAGTTCTCATTCACTTTTCTATTGTTTTGTTTTTACAGCAGTTTCACTTTAATTGTTACACAGTAAAAATATGTGAAAATATGGTACCAACTTTTTCCATTATTGTAAACTACACATTGTATTTGATCAATTACAGAAACTGGATAATGTATATAAAGAGTATTTATGATTTTTTTTTTAAATGGATAAGGTACTGCAGAACATTTTCTGGTCATTTTCTTGTGTTCAGTATTTTGTCCAAAAAAAAAGGCCTTCAAAACTTTTCTCTTTTGTACTAAACTGCCAATTCAAATACTTTTTAGATAAAATACTCACATTTCAACCTCTATATCAGTAAATCATAGATGTCTAGATGTCTATCTGCTCAACAGAACATAACAAATATAAAGATAATGAACACAGTGAATTCTAGTCAGTTTAGTCCATGCCTCTCTGCACTTATAATTTTATTCATTATTTAACATTTGAGATATCTCATGTAATTTGGTACAAAATGAACAAAGTTGATAAGATAATTCGTCCTAACCTGATTCGTCAGACTGAGGAAATGTAAATGGAGGCAGAACCATGTTTGTCATTGTGATTGAAATGCATTTGATTCAGCTAAATGTCTAGTTTATTAAATGCATTCAGTCAAGTTTGGTTAATTCAGCTAATTCTACTTTCTCAAAACCGACAAAACCTTAACAAGACTAGTTAACTCTCTCTTTAAGACAGGAGAGGAAGTTAGGTTTTAGCTGGGTCAACTCAATGTAGATAATAAAAAATGGCCTCTCTGAATCAAAACATATTATGACTGGACAGTTAATGTTAATTCACTAAAAGTCCTGCAGTGGGGTTGTCACAGCTGACCCGGGATCAGCCCTGCTGGATCCTGATGACTGTCCTTTCTGTGCTAAATAATCTTTGTAGTTCCGAGTCAGAAGAGTGTAGAGAAATGGATTTATACAGCTGTTTCCATACGTGAGACATGTGACAAAGAAATTTACATAATTATGAGCAGCTGGAGACAAAGCTTTGAGGGACTCTGGAGAGAACAGTTTGGCTAACTGCCATCCCCAAAAAGGCAAGAAGCAAGTCCAGTAAGCTACCACAATGCTAAAGATCATTGATACGACTTTTTGTTTGAGTCGTGTCCTTCTGGCAGAGTGGCTGCTACCCCCTAAGTTAGCCTGCGCTACCCAGTAGCGCCTAGCTAGCCCTGCATACAGTCCAACAATTACCAATCCAGGGACTAAAACACTGGTGAAAAACAGGGCAATGATATAAGCCTTGAAGGCCTCAGGGGTCCAGGTTGGATAGCAGATTCTCTTGACTGAACCAGCCACAGTGGGTTTGCCCTCCCTGAGTCGGATCATCACCATCATGGGAAGCGTTAGCAGAAAAGATAACCCCCAAATAATTCCTGACACTAGCCGTCGGTTGCGGGACGAGGTCTTGTGTGCACTGAAGGGTTTAGCCACAGCACGATACCGTTCCAAGCTCATAACACCCAAAATGAAGACACTGGCATGCATGGTGAGGAGGTCGAGACTCAGCAGGATGCGACATCCGGCCTCACCAAACAGCCAGTCGTGGGCAAAGTAGGTGCAGACTACAAAAGGGATGGTGCAGAGGTACAGCAGGTCAGCCAGAGCTAAATTAATGATGTAAACGTACATAGAACCTGTGCGTCGCAAAGCAGCTGAGCGTGTAACAATAAGTGTGTATGTGTTGCCGGACATGCCCACGACACACATGATAATCAGTGTAGTACCAAGCAGGAATGTCACCCACAAGCCACCACTACCTCCAGCACCAGTACCACTCCCTTGGGACTCGTCAGCTCCTGTCCCTGGGCTCAATCCAAGACCCAGCTGGGGAGTTAAGGTGGCATTAAAAGTGCAGTTCATTTTGAGTTCATGCAGTTCAGTGCAGTTCAGAGAGGTCAGAGGTCAGGCTACAAAACTGAGGAGCCAGTTTACACAGGATTATTGACTCTTACCTCACAGGAAAGATTTCATCTCTGTGGAAACATTACAGTGTGAGGTGAAGTGCAGAAAGAAGATGCCAGTGGACATTACAGTCAAATATTTCTGCTAAAATGAAACATTCAACACAGTTCCTTCCAACTTGTAGTGCTTATTCCCAAATAAGTTCGTGATCAATAAAGACTCCAGCAAAAATTTAAGTCATATGAACACCCCAGACTTAAGAGATGTTGTCTGTTGGGCGTAGAACTTAAGCAGATCCAAGCTGGGTCATTTAAGAGCAGTGGGGAGCAGCACTGCTTTTTAGCTGGACAAACTGTGCTCAAAGTCCCTGATAGAAAGTCCCTCCTGTGCTAAGATGTGCTTGAGAAGGCTTAACTGGCTGACACCTCCAGAGCAGTCTCCACAGCAGGGCAAAAAAATAATCCTTTCTCCTATATTAGCATAGAGTGCTGTGTGGCTCTTAAAAATAAAAGTTGCTTTGCTTGTGCAAAGAAAGATTCACTCAGCAGCTTTAGTACATCCATTCACATTCTCCGTGTTTTTGGTCTTCTATGTTTCTGTCCTAATGTGGATTGACATACAGAGCTTTAAGATATCCTTTGTTTTATCCAAGTCATCCATATTTTTTCTGCATAGCTCTTCCAGACCTCTGCAGATCCACTTGGTGACAGATGAAGCTTCAGTTTCTCCCTGAAAATTGAGCCCACCCTTATCTCCAAGTTTTGATACTGCTGTGCTGTGTCTTTGAAGTTGCAGGGTTGCACTTCTCTCCTCCCGTCTCTCCTCAGTGCTCCCTCCTTCTCACCACGGTGAAAAAATAGCAGGGACCTATAGATTCATGTGGTATTCGTCGTGGGCCTAAACCTCCAGTCTGTGTAGTGACGGTGTAGTTACACAGTAACCAAACCTCATCAATGTTTAGCCTAATGCTTAAATGTAAAAGACATCTATTTTTTCAAAACTTGCATCACATTATTTTTACACTTATTTATTTTACTTTTACTCATAAGTACCTCATCCTTAGTGAAATATTTGAAGAAAGTGATGGTGTTAAGCTCTAACACGTCACTGCAGACATAATTAAAACAGTTTAATGGTTAAATAAAGACACACAAATCTATGCGGAGATCATTTGACAACATTTTAAACATTTCTTTTATTCATGGTCAGCAACAATTTCATATTCTATGGCAGCCATAGTCAAGCATATGCTTAAAAATGCACATATCAACATAGACAAGTACCTTTTAACCAGAGGAAGGAAGCGAAAAAAGAAAAAATGTCAACTCAAATGTCTGATTTGGGTTTTTTTTGACACTGATGACAATGTAGACAAAATAACTTAATGGCATTCTTGTCTATTTTAAAAAAAGATTTGAATATATATGCACTTTATGCCACATGAAGGAGCTGTTACACCATCCAAGGTTTTGTTGTGTTAACAGCTTTTCTGCAAACCTGCTTTATTGTCTTTCCAACAGATCTTTGATAGACGACTTTAAAAATATATACATTTGTGTTTGCTTTACTTGCAAAATAGATGATTAAAGAAATGCCTAAGTACGTTATATTGCTTTTAATTAAAAGAATAAAATTACAAAAAACAAAAAACCCTACACATACCTCAGTTTGATTGTACCACACAGTAACTGGATGATAAATGTTCTGTTCCTGTTTGACTGTGTCTTTTTTCACAGCAGACATTTGGAATTATCACAGTACCAAAAGCACCAAGCAGTAACTGAACAAACCAAGTCAGAAAATGAAATTCAGGTGTCATTAACTGTATAATTTTCACCTGTGATTTTCTCACTGTGACATGTCAAAATGACTTTTGTGAAAACAGGCACATTTGACTACCTGCACCTCATTAGCGTTACCCAATCATTACAACACATTATACTTAATACAAGAGGACCAAAGCAAATACTTTTAACTTTGAAAGTGTTTTTTGTTAGAATATATGTTTGACATACGTTTAATTCTACTGTCCCTATTTTGTACAGCAGTATTTACATAGCATACCACAGGTCCACGAGAAACAATGGATAGTATTATTTTGTTTACATAGTATTTGATATGGGCAGTGGCCACCATGACCATGAGCCCAAAGAATGCATTTGTAAGTTAAAAAAATAAAAATATTACAAATTTGGTTGAACCGTAAGTAATTTTATCTTACCACTTTCACCAATAAAAGCTAATATCATTGACAATACAATGGTCTTATCAGTCATTACTTTCTCTTATTTGCATTCTTAATATCCTGTCATCCCATTTGAATTATGAAGCAAGTTCCAGTGTGACCACAGTAACAAAGAAGCTGAGACTCCAGGTCCGTGACGCAGAAGCGAAGCAGGTCTTTTGTCGCACTGGTCATGAACTGAGAGGGGAGGTGGTTCTTCAGGCTTCTGATCCATCAGTGCTTATGCCTGAATGTGGCCTCCACTTAAAAAAAAAGAAAGTCCAAAGTTAGGAAAGAAGATGTTCAGTTAACCCATAAGGACCAGTCAATTTGTATGACTGGTTTTTGTTGGTATTGCCATTAAAACTTTGAGTTGTTGACATATGTAAACTGCCATGATGTACTTTATGTTCAGCGCTAATTAGCATGTATGCTAACACGTGCCCCAAGAACACAGTAAATATGCAGTTATTATTACTGTCAGTCAGTTAACACGACAACACATCTACTTTTTAGACTACTAATGTTAACATACAAACTTTGGACTTTAGGTTTTTCTACACATTTTGGCCTTTCATCAATATAGAAATGACAAGTCACTCAAAACTTTATAAAAACCTGTTGACATCAGACAGTGCACCATGTTGTATTATATATTTTATTATATTGTATTATTGTATTACACTTTGGTTTTTCTTGGTTGTGCCTGATGCTGCTTTTTGTACTTTTGTATGCATGGAGATATTTTCAAAAACAAAGCGGAAAATCACCGTTTTTAAAAAAAATACCCATGTACTGTATGTGTATCCATAAACTAGAAGGATACATTTGTGGAAATGAGTACACTAACTAGTGTGTTTGAAACTTTCATAAATGAAATGCTAGAGTATCTGTGATATGCACAAAGCTTTTTTACTAATACTAATATTTCTGAGGATTTTGTTTTTTACCTTCTTTACACAATTTGTAAAGAAAACACAATTTCTTAAAATGAAGGCTTGGTCCTTCTCAAGCTGTAAAATCAAACATTAGTAAATAATGCCAAAAAGTCTGATGTGGCAGACTGGAACAATAATTTTGGACCAGGAAAGTTAAAAAAAATTTGGCCACCATGTTTATTCAAATACAAAGTTGATTTAGAAAAATGATACAAACCAATAAGCTTACCTGAAAACTGTTTCTAAAACTGAGAATCACAGCCCACACAGATGTAAAAGGGATGCAAAATAATTAGTCTACTCTTTTTATGAGTGTGTGGGAAGCATTCAAGCATCAAGGAAAAGCATGTTAACAGTCAAATTAACACAGAAATTGAACAAAGGCTATAGCAATGTACCTTTAACAAAATAAGTATGTAAGATTTGGCAGGTGTTTTTGAGGGACCCGCCGCTGTCCATCTATCCATCCATCCATGCATTCATCCATGCATGGATGAAGATGCCTGAAGCACCTTGTTCAGGAGGCATCCATGAGGCTTCCTAGTCAAATACCCAAACCAGTCCACATCCTTTAGATCAGGGGTGTCAAACTCAAATACACAGTGGGCCAAAATTCAAAATGGAACAAAGTCGCGGGCTAACATTAATATTTATTGAAAAAAAAAAATCTTCCTCCAGATATAAGAATGAATCTTTTCTTATGGACTCAAATAAGTTTTGCTGAAAAACTGAATATGGAACAAGCAAAGCATAATACTAAACAATATATATATTAGCTGTATAATACCAGTAGGCCAGCTCTAATAGTAATTTGGTATGGCTTCGCGGGCCAAATGTAATTAGGCTGCAGGCCAAATTTGGCCCGCGGGCCAGAGTTTGACAGTTTGAGAAGAATTCTCTCTTGCATGACTTAACTCATCATCCCATCTCTGAGGTTGAGTCCAGCCAACCTTCACAGGAAACTAATTTCCACAGCTTTTATATGCAGTCTCATTCATTCAATCACTACACAAAGATTGTGGCCATGGTTGAACATAGATCAACTGGTAAATTGCTTTCACCTCTTTCTTCACCATAACAGATTACAACCTTTGCATCATTGCTGATCCTGCACCAATCTCTCTGTCAGTCCACTCTCCCTTCACATGTGAATTTGGCCTGGAGTACTTCCACTTGGACAAGTAACTCATCTCAGACTTTGAGTGGGTACTCCACCCTTTTCCAGGTGAGAACTGTACCCTTGGGCTTAAAGGTGGTAATTCCAATTCCTGCCACTGCACACACGGCTGAAAATTGCCCTAGTGTAAGCTGATGAAGCCACATAATGAAACCAACATAAACACATCATCCTCAAATGGTAAAGATGAGATCCTGAGGCTGTGATCAAATGCTTTCTCTAGATCTAAGTCCTTCTCGAGCAGTCTGGCATAGGCCTTCTTTGGAAGGCTGAGAAGTGTGATCCATGCAACCCTCTGGTTACCCTTCTCAAAAAGGAGAGCCATCACCCCCAGTCTGCCAATCCAGAGCCACAGCCCCAAACACATTTCAGAGACATGTCAACTAAGACAGGCCCACAACACCTAGAGCCTTAATTAATTCAGCACAAATCTTGTTAGGTGGACAAGATTGGTGTCCATCTGCATACAGGTTTCTGTTCAGTCCCATTACCCACTGCAAAGCTACATTACATTGACTTAGCAATGGTGGTGCAGATTTGGTCCACTCATACTTAGTGTCCCCAGTCTCCCTCAGAAAGCTAACGTTTTGTTAGGTGGGAATTGAAGATTTCACGAACTGTGGCCTCTGTTTTAGCTCCCAGCTCAAACTCACTATACGTTTGGGTAAACCACGCCTGTCTAGCATCTTCCCCCATTGTCTGATCCAACTCTCCATCAAGTGATAATGATTTGACAGCGCAGCTCCATTACTTTACTGAATGTCCAAGATACATGGCCACAGATATGACTGAAGATCTATAATTACAAAATTGATTTTCAACCTAAACTATCCTGATCTCACGTGCACTTTTGAGCACCTTATGCTAAAACATGGTGTTTGTTAAGGACAAACTGTAGTTGGTGCTGTAATTAATAACGATCATTTAAATAACATGAAAAGCCATTTGCAAAAAAAGAAAAAGCAATAAATAGATTTTTAGTCTTACTTAGAATATAAAAGTCTTACTTGTATATTCCTGTGGGGACATCTGAGCACTCATGATATCATTGAAGTGCTTCAGCCAGTCCTGCTGGTCACTTTCTGTCTCGCAAGTAAACAGAAAGCAGCGGTCAGGTGTTTGTATGGTGATACCATATTCAAAGGCACCATTGCAGTGGGTGCCAGCAGGCAAGCCGGAGGAGGCACTGTAACCATAGTTCTTGTTCCCAAGGAAAACTTCACCTTTGGCAAAGGCATCCTTCACGTAGAGAATAAGAGAAAAAGAAGTCAGCTGTATAGACTTGTCATCATGTATATGAGAGTGTTGATTAAGAAATACACCCCTTATTTCTTTGGGAAGTAGGTGCAGCATTTTTTTTTTAAATGTGCACAAACATACATTGAAATACAGTATTTAAGGCAAAAACAGAGTTTCTACTATTCTAACAAGCTTGAAAGTCAATATTTCTATTCTTTAACAGCCTGAAGTCTCTTAAGAATTCTCAAAGCTTTATTGTAATATCTTTATTTTCACTGCTTTTTGTTCTGTTCTCTGATGTGGTGATTCCACATTGCTTCAGTGTTGAGAACCAGACTCTGCGAGGAGACCAGTCAATGACTAATAGTGTTCCTTTGTGCATTGTGCCAAAGAATGCCTTCTTGATAGCCTCATTTACACTGTGACCAGTTTTATTGAGGCTTCATCAAAAAGTAGATGGTTCAGCTGAAAGGCCAGATGCATGTTTCAGGTCCAGCATCAGATCTTGTTTTCTTGCTATTCCTGAACAACATGACTTTCAGATGCTGTTCATCTACTGTAGCTTGCCGCTTCGTCTTTTGTCAGGTTTCCTCAATTTCTTTAAGGACACACTGCACACCCGGTTGAGATATGTCGTGTTTACACCTAACAACTCTTAGTGCAAAAGTACAATATCATGCTTGTCAAACTGTGTTATCTGTGGCTTTTTTATGGGTTCAGTTAAAGAAATTGGAAAAAATCTTGTGTTTATGTGACAGGTAAAAGTGACTGAAGAAATGTGGTTCTCTATAATGAGTGGACCCAAAGTTAGTTCATCCTATGAGTTAGGCCTTTTTTATGCTTGAATGATTCAAATGTAAGACTCTGATGGTCAGGTACAAAGACTGGCCTGAAAAGGAGTGAAAAAGTTCAAAGACATGCTATGAAACACCCTCAGAAAGCCGGAGAACTATTACTCAAGATAATATATAAAGAAATGTGAAGTTACTAAAGATTTTGCACAGTACTATAGGACAATAATCTGCTATCCTATAAACCAAATTATTTATTTTAGTATGTTATTATGATTCCAAATCGAAACGGTTTGTGATACTGTGTAACCAAGCATTTGCCCCACAGTAACAATATAAAGTGTAAAACAATGATTATATTTACACCTGGTCACTTTCAAGTGTTTGTGTTGTAGGTTTCAGTGATTCGTTTTGGGAGCAACAGTGATAAAGTGGCAATGTTTGTTATGTGAAAATGCAAAATTGGAAGAATATTTCAAATTTAGTTTATTTCCTCTTTTTTCTCTTCAAAATAAAAGCTCATTATTATCTGCATGTTTTCTTTTCTTCATCATCTTATTTTTTCCTCATCACCTATCTAAGAAAGGGCATTTTGCTTTGCTTTTGTTTTTAAAGCTTTGCATTCACACAAATACAGCCTTTGAATTACGGCATAATGCTTTAAGGAAAGCATGTGGTAGTGGCCAAGGGAGTAAAATGTGCATCTTTCAACTGCAAGACATTCAGTTAATTTGCATATCTTAGCCACTTTAGGAACCCCAAGCCATCACCAGAAGTTTTCTGAAATGAAGCTGACCCTGTTTCAGATGCTTTGTTATGGGATTTAACATCACGATGGCTCTAAAGCACCTGAACTAAAAAGCAGCAAATCATTTCAACCTCAGTTCAAAGCACTTGAACTGAGGCTGAAATGAGGAAATGTTTAGCATTTTTACTTAAAAAGTGTTTGAAATGTGTGATCTTGTGTCAAAGTTTGAGCTTGTAAAATATGGTGGTTTAAAACTACCATGTTTTGCAAAGCTCACACACACACACACACACACACACACACACACACACACACACACACACACACACACACACAAGATTATCACTAGACTTCCTCTTTCTTTCATCTTCTAGATTTCCTTGTCTCTCTTGGGGTAAGTTGGACAATTCAGGAACTTAGCGTCTATAATTATTACACCTCTCCACTGAACTATTGCGTCACCAGCAACACTTAGATAATCTGCTTTGGTTATCTAATGTTTTTAACTCAGACTTGGGCAATCTGAGCTACCCACTCTTAAGGTCTTTGGAAAAGTCTGTATGATAATAAAATTGTCTGTAATCATTCAGGATTTTCTCAAACAACATCTCAACATCAGCTATCTGATAAAATAGGGTGTCTGCACACAGTGTTGTGTGTAGAAGTGTCAGTGTAGCACATTCCAGGCTGCATCGAGGCACCTCTGTGCTCCACAATTTGTGGTCAGAGTGAACCAACCACATGCCTAAAATACAGCAGTCTTTCAGATGTGTGCAGGTCTTTGTAAAGAAGACATACCAGTGGATCTTTGAAGTACATGAGCCGCCTTTGGTCCAGTGTAAACCAGCGTTTCTTGAAACCTTCTGTTTGCTATGTAGACAAAGAGGCAGACGAGTGAGTAAGACAGACAAAGACTGAGAAAGACTGCACAAAGATACAATGCAGCATTGTGCTTTTAAATAAGAAAAGTGAGTCTGTCCCGTTTGTGTAGTCTTGCAAGACTGTAAGTTCCGACACTTCAAAACAAGGACTTCAAATTTAGTCCGACCAATAGTCTATGATATGCAATATATAAAAATGGAGCTGTTACTCATTGGAGACGAATCATGTCAGCTGTAAACAAATTTGTATCAAATACAACATTTAAATACTGAAAATTGATGGAAACCGTAAGAGCATGCAATGACTGTTTTTATCCCAACTGTGCAGGGTATTTTACTTTTCATGAATGAGGGGTGTAGCCTGCTTTCGTATCTGTGATTTAGCCATGAATGTGCGTTAAAGCTGATCTCAAGATTTCAACGGTGATATGAAAGCATTCCTTATTGTTAGGCACTTAACATTGTCAAACAGGTTTCCTCTTGACAACTCCCATCTGAATGTTTATCGCACTTCTCTCATAGCACTCATGTTTAATTTGAAAACTTGTCACGGCTGAAACTTTACACGAGTGCTGCATTTTCAAATCCACTGTGAAAGCAGCTATCGAAGAAAAGCGAAGCACGGCACCTTTGGAGAGTTTACTGAAGTGCACAAGCAGCTTGAGCTCTTTTCAAATAATCAGGACGCTCGGGTCCCCGACTGCTGCCAAACTGTGCTCGTAAAAGTGTTTGATATTGTCATTGTGCTGAACAACTGACTGTTCCCTTCTCATTTTGCAAGCCGACTCCTTCCACAAGGAAGGAAATGAATTATGACATCCATTTAGTAAATCAGCCCAACGCAGCAAGTTGGTGCCTTCTTTCATCTCTCAGCCCGACAGACCCAGATTAAACCGAGTGTCTGCGTTTGCATGCCTCTGAATGCAGAGTCGCTCGTTTCGCGGAGGATCAGGTTGCTGTTTCCTGTGCAGGTACTTGTGTCTGAATGATTCCTCTGTGTGACAACAGCTGCCTGTCTGTGCAACCATGTGTGAGTACGTGCCTGTGTACAAATCCCCTCTTTGCACGTCTGTGTTTCATGTGTGCATTTGACACCTGGGAATTTAGTCCAGCCTCAGCTGGAAGCCCTTCATTCCCTGTCGCACAGATGCAAGTAGGTGCTCTCAGCTGTCACTCAGCCTGTTAGGCAGAGGTGAAAGGCAGACACGCTGACGGCTTAGCTCGTTAGCCTATTATCCCAGCTCCTATTCAATTAACGATGGGAGAGTGAGAGCTGGGATCACTGAAGATTTAAAGGAAGGAACTGTGTCTGACTTGTTGAACAGAAAGTTTGTCTCGATCCTGGTTTAGTACTCAAATTTGGCGGAGGTATTTATTTTTGCTAAATTCAATAAATAAGGGATTTTTAACATTTTTCCCTTTATAGGTAACATCAGAATTGCCACATTAAGAAGTTATCTATAATAGAGATCTCTTCTAGATTATTTAAACTGAAAATCTTGTTTTAAAGTGGTAACCATCTAGGCACTGCAGTTGCATCATTACTACATGACTACTAAAAGAACACCACCTGACATTTGCTGGCTGTAAATAGGATTTTTACCGAGCCTGCCTCTGTGTTAAGATGTATGCATAGCTCCAGAGGAGGTCGTTTCCTGATTCACCACAACAAATCACCTCCCTCCGTCTCACCCTATCTCCATCACCCTCATCTGTCACACTAATAATGTCTTTTTTTATTCATTCTGTCTCCTGCACATACCTCCACCTCTTCAGGCTGTCTTCGACTTGCTCTCTACTCTCACAAACATTATAGTCCACGTGGACTCCTACCTGGCCTGATTTGTCAACCTATCCATCATTACTGCAAACACGAAGGGGCTCAGAGATTATCCCTGATGTAATCCCACTTCTACCTTTAACCCATCTGTCACTCCTACTGTCCTGTGCTGTCCTCACACATGTCCTGCACCAGCCTAACAAACCTCTCTGCTACTCCTGACTTCCTCATGCAGTAGAAGTTCCTCTCTTGGGACCTTCATAGCACATCATCACATGCTTTCTCTAGATTCCAGGAGAGGTCTGGTTATCAGCAATAAATGATGGCTGGATAGCAATGACAAATCTGAAGCCATTTTAAAGACAGATTTAGGGAAGTCCCACACTTGGTCATCAGAGTGTGACATTATGACCATAAGGAGTGCTTCCCAAACCTTCCTATGTGAGGAGGTGGGACTGAGAGTATTCTCGCTATTGCAGAGACAGATGCATTAGGGCGTCTACATAACCTTGTCTGTATCTCTGGCAAAATAGCAGGCTTGCTGATTATGGCTCAGAGAAATGTATATAATTTGTAGGCTGATGTAATGGTATAAAGCACAGTTCCTACTACCTACTTGAGAGCTATTAGCAAGTAAAGTACAGTGGATTTAATGTAGATTATTAACCGGGTCTATTGACCCACTGTTGAGACAAAAACTGCAAGCATGTGGTTAAAAAAATAAGAAACAGCAGACACCTCCAACACCAAGTATACAGCTCTTCCTTATTTTTAAGTATATTTAGCAAAATTTGCTTTTATTCTTTTGTTGTTCTTGTTTTTTTTAATGAATTGTAAGGTTTTTTTCAGTATCTCTAAATCTACATTTTTTGACTTGTGGAAAACATCCCCGTGTGTTTGAGACTGCCAATGTAAGGGTCAGTGGCTGCATTGAGAAATAGAAGGAAATGGAAAGGCTAAATAAAGCAAAAAGAGGTATGAATCCATAAATGTTTACTTGCCCTGGGACCTGTCTTTTCCATATATCCTTCCTTGATAAAGTTTCGGGTAAGTCTGGGTACCAGCTAAGAGCAACAAGCAAAAAGACAAAAACAATGGGATTAAAAACAAAGAATATTATAAGAATATTATTGTTTTAGTGTAATGGAGTTCTACACTTCAGACATAATATTCATGAGCCTGCCTATTAAAAGAAACCTAAAAACAATGTAAATATTTATTTTAAGGTAGGTGGGCGTGCATGTGTGTGTTTACCTCAGCATCGGTTGCCCCGGGAAAGGCCACCTTTAGATAGTGAAGCTGAACAGCACGAATTGAATTAAACCAGTCTACAATCTCCTGAAAGGTTAGAGGATAAAAAAGACAGTATTTAGTTCTTACTCTATTTTTCTTGTCGTTGTCATTTAGAAAAGAGGAGGTACATTTTTTATTTTTTGGACCAAATTATAGGAAAATCCAGGAACAGTTAAAGCCAAAAATGTTAACCTCACTGACTAAAGGATGATTATCGCCCTCATTATGACATGAAATGGTTTGTCAAATCCAGTTTTGATGCCTCTACTTTGAGATTTTGCCTTTTTGATGTGTTGAGTCAAAAGTGAACAAGTCTGAAGCAGAGTGTGAGGGGCAAGTGTTTAGCTAATGCTTGCAAGCTTTGTTAGCACCTATCCATTTGTTAAGTCTAATGTCATCAACAATTTCTGGGTCCAATGCTAACTCTGGCAGTAAGAAGCTAGCAGGTAGTTACATAGCTAGTTTTAACCTAAAGATGATATACCATGTTATGACTGAACTATTTCTAAAGAAAAAAAATACCCCACAAAACCCCCCTAAAACCTATGGCTCTGCTTTCACTTTGGACATAGGCGAAGAAGACTAAATACCAGCAATGTTTGGAGGATTAGTGAAGTTGGGCTTGTTGGCATATAATCTAAGCTACAACATGCTAAAAAGATGAAAGCCTCTATCTGAACTGAACAGATGTCTGTTCAATAACTGTAACTGCATTAAAATTATCCAAAATACACCAACTCAGCACAAATAGTTCAGTTTAGCGACAGTTGGCATATATAATAGCTAGTAGGTAGCTACTGGCTGTGTGAATCTACCTGTTAGCCAAAACCCAAATGAAACAGCTGAGTATAAAACATAGTTGTGACATGTGTACACTTGTTATTATGAGGAATAAAAGCACTATAAGGTTTTATAGCTGTAGAGAAATCAGTAAAACACTTCAGGAAAGCACACTGAAGACAGTTTTACTAGCATTTACCTGTTTACCACTGTTTACCACGTGGATTTTCCTTCTTTGTACTTTGTATCATTATTTTTTTCAATTTTTATCTTTTATATGTTTTCAGATATAAATATATATATGAGTAATATATGAGGTTTCTTATGCCAAAATGTGCAATATTATGTATAGACTGGAACAATGACTTTCCAAATCAGAAGGGATTTTATGATAGTGATGTGATTTTGCAGGAGACTCGAGTCTGCTACAAATAACTCCTCAGCCTGATGGCAGTTCTGAACTGCTCCATATGTTTCAATGTGGTCTGAGTGACACAGAATAATGGATGCCGTGCTTCAATGTCATCTGCAAATGGATTCCGTCAGCCTGCACAAATTGGTACAGATGGTTTTGTAAAGGTTTGGAGACTCTCCCCCGATGACAAGAGCCAGGTAGTTTCGAACACGTCTGTCTCTGTGACAGATGACAAATATCCGATACCACCTTCTGCTGTTTAAATTAGTGGACAGTCAAGAATACACAAAAAAGCTTTAGATTTTCTGTAAGAAAGGTATTGTATTCATTCAGTACGAGAGGTTCACACTGCTTTAGTGCAAAATTCCTCACTATTTCTCCTTAGGACTTTTACTACATGCCGATTGATTCTAAACCAGCGATTACAGAAATGCAGACCTTGCCATTGTCATGGTAGACAAACATATTTCGGGTGCTGTAGTCTTTGAGGTAAGTAATCTGCAGGCCGTTGGTGTTTCCTATCTTCTCTGGCTGGAAGGTTGCATTGATGCTGTCCACCTTTATCAGTGCTTTGGGCTCCTTAGCCTGCAGGAAACAAGAGGGAAATGACTGTGTATTTGTATGAAATGCAGCAGTTTGCATAGATAGATAGATCTCATAATAAGCCATGGTTAGAGCTGTTTGACCTATTATTTCCACATGTTTTATGCTGTTTAACATAATAATTAACATGATTAATTGAAATATAAGATTTTCTAACCAAGGCTGTTTTTACATGCTCCTGCTATATGTGTAAAAATATGCCTAATGCATCTTGTGGACACACTCTGATAAATTACTACAGTGAAATTAATTTGGGATTCAGGGGGTGAAGTGCTACAAAAAAGTGTTGCTATCTCAAATCATAAATATATAGAGCACATGAAAATCCACTCTTTTTAATCATGTTTTATAGAAAAGGCCTCAGAGATTCCAAAAAGAAATAATCCTGCAATTTTCTTCTGTGGTCTTCAATGAATAAACATTTCTCTCTGGGACAATCATACTTTTACGGTTTTGAACAGGTGTGGTAATAAAAATAATAACTTTTTTTCATCACTGCTTAACCAGAAAAAATGTATATTGATGCAGTGAGTATCTGATTGGCATCACACCCTAAGCCTGTATTTTGTGTTGTGTCACTGCTTTCAAAGCTATTATCTAAACATCGGTCCACATCACTGATAACCATCATCTCTAAGACCGACACTAATCCCAGCAAACATGTTTGTGGATGCTGTGCTTTAATCTTCCCTGACTTGAATTTAGATGGGCATCTTTAGAAGCTGAATCTATGTCCGTTCTTTTGTCCTTGCCTTTCACAAAGAACAAATACAGCTATGGTTATTTATGAAAGATTTGACAGTTGATGACAATTTCTCTACTTGGTTTGGGTTTTGCCTCTTGAGCATGATAAATCAGCAAGAAATGTGAAACTGTGAAACTGAGGAGCAGCCAGTTGGAGCTGAACATTTTGCATACCTCAAGCTTTTCCTGAGTTCCAACCAACCTAACAGCATAGAAAATCTAAAAAGAAATCTAATGACACTTTTACCTTTACTACTTCTCACACTGCATGAGATTTGTTTTTTAATTGTTTGCTATAGCATATTCAGCATGGCACCTACTTTCCCCCCCAAAAATATATTTTTCCCTCTTCCCCTGAGCTGGTTTACTGTGACAAACAAAGTGCTCCCAGTGCTTCAAGGCCTAATTGGTTTGGGTGGTGTACAGCTTAGTGAATCAGCCACACTGACAGAGAGGACAGACTGTTGGTTAAGCTTGTCTGAGCACGCTTGAATGCAGCAGAGGGTGCAAGTACTTATTTTGCTCTCTCTTGGTAGGTATACATAATTAATAAGAGTGTGTATAACAAAATACTGCATTTGTGTTGTGGTATTATGAATGGGAATTGGTACCTGCAAGAGCCTTGTCATAAAAAATTCTTACATCATATTTGGTAAAATACTTCAGAGTCCCCTCCCTCTCTGAAAGGACAAATCGTCTGCTGAGGAACTGCCCGTTGTCCCGCCCTCTCTTCATCAACATGCCATCTCTTATTCCTGCAGGAAGCCAACAAGGTCAATCATGAATTTGAATTTGTTATAACACAGATGCGGTTTGTGTCATTATACACCTGTGCACTCACTTTCTTCATAAGTGAAGTTTCCAGGCTCAGAGAACTCCCTCCTTTGGTACTTTGCTCGTATCCACTGCTCCCTCAACACCCTGAGCACACAGATGAAGTGTAAACAGAACTAGCTTGCAAAGCTTGTGCTTGTGCAATAAAAGCACACTAATAGTCCTGTGTATTTTGTGAACAGTAAACACAACACCAAAAATGAAAACCAATTCAGATACACAAGAGACTCACAAAACAGTCCTTTTTAATATTCCTACTTTATGTGAACTGCATGCCTAAACAGTGACATTTAAAGTCTTTAGAAAGATGACTCTGGCAGCATCTTCTTTCAGCTTGTTAAATTGCAACTATCCTGCAGTTATATATCCTGCAGAAATTACATGCAGATTATTGCCTTTGCAAGTAGCATTGCACCTGCTGCGTTAGGCTGATAGACATGAACAGACACACTCCTGAGTGAAAACATCAATCCTGGTCTGACTGTAATTTACTGCATCAGTGTCAATTAGAACTTGCATATGCTACTTTAAGATGTACAGCAACACTGAGCAGGTTAAAGCATCCTAAAAATCTCCAAATGAATACATAAAAGGATATCGGCAAAATGTTAGCATTTTCCATTAGCAAAATGCTAAGGCCAAATATTGAGGATCATTTTACTCATAAATCATAGAAAGCTATCGAAGGCTTCAGTCACACCAGAGTCAAAATAGGACAGCAACCTCCGCAGCTGGGAATGATTGTGAGTACTTGCAGCTGCCAACTGAGCGCCCAAAGCATGAGGCTGCAGGGCTTCAACCACTGAGCGAACATTTGTGGTTACAGGGCACCTGATTTCCAGCCTGTTTCAGTCAGTCTCAGACTGATTACAGTCACTCTCAGATAGGTCTGCAATTAATTGCTATCTAATTTAAAAACAATAAAAGCAATAATGTGTGTGATAGTTCCCACTAGGAGTGTTTATTTATTTGGCATTAGAATGAGTTATCAGAAAGGATGTGCAGTCGGCACGCCTGGATGGCTCAACGTTGTGAGCGCAGTGCCAAAACCTTTACTCTGTAATAATCTGTTTGGCACAAGCCCCACATATTCCAAAAACAATAATACCAGAATGTTTATTGAAACACAGCAGAATTGAAATGAAGTTATTTCATTTTTAACCTTAATTTATATTTTATTCCTTCCTAGTTAAATTTACCCTTTTTAATTTTTCATATTTATTTCCTATCTTATTCATAGCCTTTTCCTTTTTTGTTTTTCTTTAGGTCACGAGCAGTTGTCCAAGCATTTCACTACATATCGTACTGTGTATGACTGTGTACGTGACAAATAAAATTTGAATTTGAATTTGAAGTTAACGCTGTGTCTGAGGGAGGAGGACAATCCTGACAAAAGATGGATACAAGAATACAGCCTGTTTTCCTTTCCACAGTGAGCAGAGATGCCAGTATTTCAGGCTTTTAGTCAAATTTTTACAGAGATTAGTACATAATGAAAACATCTCCCCATCTTTTCTCAACGCAAACACAGAGCAACATTCATCTTTCTTTCAATTCCCTTGAAAGGCGCATATTACACAATATATGTTTGTAGCTATTAATGGGTCTGTGTTAGTGTGCTACAATAATGTGTAAATGTTGCAAAATGTTAGGGGTGGTTAAATTCATATGTGTAGCATTCGAGTAATCTCGATATAGGGAATGGGACATCGTGTTATATTTACAACAGCAGATATTTGGAGTTTGAAAACTAACAAATATGTGACAATAGCTCTGTAACATGTTTTACAACATCATGGGCCACAGTGAATGATGGCCAGTTTATGGTTTAGCGTTTCACTCAGGAGCGTGGCTGTTCCTCTCTATCAGCCCATCACAGTGCCTGCCTAGACTATGGGATGTGAGACATCAGCCTCATTGCATATTTATACTTGAAAGAAAAATGGTGCAATACTTGGCTCCATTTTGAGCACCAAATTTACGATTCCCTAGGCAGATATCTGGTTATTATTTAAATAAACTAGCTGCATGTGTTTGTTTATAAATGTATAAATTTGCCCAGCTTAAATCTGGCACAGCCTGTGGCTGAGAAAGTCACACATGAGCGTGGATAACCACTGACGACGAGTCCATACCGGCTCCTGTAAAGCGCTGCTGACTGTAGATATAGATGCCAACAGAATTCGAACAGAAGGCAACACATTTTTTCTTAGTTAATTGCAGAATAATTGCGAACAGAATGTAAGTGCCAAGTTGACCAGTTCACTTAAAAACTAGCAGACTAACTCCATTTTATTGCCATGTTATTCCAGTTTCACCGTCATCTTGACCCACCAAAGTCAGTTTGACGACAGCAACTGACTATGAGTGGTCTCAGACTTGGACTCCATCTTTAAAGCAACATTTCAAAGGCAAGGAGACTGCAGGAGTTTCAGTAATTTGGTCACAGATTGGTCTCCAGCCGCTATCTTCCACTATATTCTAAATGACATAATGAATTTGCAAAGATCCCACTGTCAAAGGATACCCATGAAGAACTAAGCGCTGTAATATTAGAATCACAGAAGAAAACATATGTAAACGCAGGCGTCTTAAAGATAGCAGCAAAAAGAGTGGAAATAATTTACCACCTATTTAAGAGATATTGTCTGTGTTAGGCTGAGAACAGAGCAATATTTTGGTCAAGAGTAACTGATTCACAGCAGAAAGTCGACAAAAACATAACAAAGCCAAAGGTAAATAAAAGTATTGATGCAACTACCACCCTGCATAATAACTTTATTACATTGATGCAGTGCTGACTGAAACAATTACACAATTCACCGAAACAGATCAAATGGATTTAGACTCTCCACCTACTTTTATTCTATGCTAATAAAAATAAATGCTGTTAGGATTCTCTGTATCCTGTGGATTATCACTGCAGAGCAAAGGCTAGATTAGATAGTTACAACCGGTCCAAGAAATAAATCAATTTAACCCCATATATGTCGCAGGAAAATGACTCAACAGGGTCAAACTAAAGGCTGAATATCTGGCCTGAGTTTCATACATAAGCTAAGTACTGAACTTACTTCAAAAAAGAAAAGAAAAAGACAGCAGCGCTGTAAACAATGGTAGACTGGTGGGTAATAAGCGAATGAATAATACAGAAAACAGAGATTGGAGACGGGAAACTGTTCTTGAAGTATAGAGAGAGATAGAGAGAGAGCTAGCTGTGCATGAAGTGTGATTTTAATAGTCGTGGAAGCAAAACAGCAAAATTCATAACGACATTGATCAAATGTGAAGCGCAGTTTGCTGCTTCTTTTGCTGCTGGCTCGGTGAATTTTGGTTGGAGAGAGACAAAACCTGCAGCTCAGAATCAGCACAAAAAGACGTAATCACAGCGCGGACCGGACGCATCAGGATCGCTAAGCTCCGACAGCGAGTCCGTCTACGGGCCGCCCGAGAAAGACAAAGCTGATTCTGATGCGTCGGGTCCGTTCTGTGTTTACGTCTTTGTGTGGAATCCGTGTACCTGCTCTCATTTGCTGTTTGGTTGTTGTTGAAATGGTTTTGTGAGCTTTAATCTGAGAATCTGGCGTTTCTGGCAAAACACAGTTATATTTAAAAGTCAGGATTTAATGAATTGATATCGCTTCATTCAAGCTACTCACCTCCCACTTCCACCTGCACTTTCCACTGGACCATGGCCAATCAGAGAGGTCCCGCCCCTTACTATCTCTGATTGGTTTAGTCCACGATAGGGGCAAAATGTGTGTCTGTTGTTGACCACAGGGAAGGTTGCAGATTTTTTTTTTTTTTTTTTGCTACCCGAACAGTTAGTCGCACAGGTGCAACCAAATATTTTTTTTAGTTGCACCACTGAAAAATTTGGTCGCAAATGCGACCAATTTGGTCGCACTCTAGAGCCCTGCAAGAGCTCCTGTAGATTTCAGCCACAGGAAGTGAATAGCTGTTCACTTTACACTGAAAGATTTCAAAGCTGAGCGTGTGGGGATAAAGTGCAATGTAACAACACGTCAGCTTTGCAGGGAAATGAGAACATGGATGTAAACAGTCAGCTCCATGTAAAAGTATTTATTGGGAGGAACCGTTTAAACTGTGTAATTATCAAGTTTATTGCACCCAATCACGGGCGAGTGTTTTGAGCATATCAGTGTTCCCCTTCTAGTCAATTATAGTTAATTAATTATAGCTAATGCTTATAGTTTGGCTGGAAAACAGGAGATTTTTCTTTAAAGAAAAAAACAAACACACTTAGGTCTAAAAAATAACTCATTGCATGCACATTTTTTCCAAAAACCTGTCCAAAATAAGTTATGTAAGTGTGACATATGTGTTACTATGGTTACTCACTGGCAGTCCTTGTGGGTTGGTTTGTAGTAATAGACTGGAACAGCGGCCTCATATTTGCTCTTCATGAGCTCATTGCCATTCTGTGCCATGAACTATGAAAACACACACACATACACATACATGACATAGACATATTATTTGAGGATGAATGACATCTTGGCAGAGCTATAGACAGTTTTACGGCTAAAGGACACATTTTCTCATCTCCTCAGCAGAAGCATTGAATTCCTAGAATAAATCTTCACTGATGTTACTGGGAACCAATTTCAGTTATGGGAAGATGACAGATGTGGCAACTATTTTAAGATAAAGATGTTCAGAGAACCCACATCCTTAATTATCTGATTTCCATGAATCCAGTATAAAAATGTTGTGGGCAGGAATGCAGTGTTTTGACATTCCCGAGGACTGATTTATCATAGTGATTTATAATAAAGCATTTTGAAGAAAAATTCTTGAAGCTAATTTTTTGTCTATTTAAAAATGTGGTTTTTGGTCGTCTAGGTTTGTGAAATGTGTATGTTAGATTCTTCTCAAAGTGAAAAGCCCACAGGTGAGCCCATCAAAGACTTGTGGCATCATACCTGATCTGGAGGCCAAAGCTTCTCTAAGAAAAAAGACTACACAGGTAAGTTCACCTTACTTCACAATGGGCATCGACCTAGCTCTGACAAAAAAAATGACTGGTTTCCATTAAGGATTACAAATAACTGGACAAAGAGTGTAAATAAAACCCTCAATTGCTCATTTTAAAAGGTGATATCTTGGTTGGTATGATCAAAAATCACTGTATCATTATTAAGATCGTTTCAGGATACATGGAGATATACATGGGGGAAAAAAACCACGAGTACAAAACAAAAAACAACAAATAATGTATAATTAGGCTCTGGTCTAAGCATATAAGGAATAAGGAAACCACTTGGTAACTTTCGTTTCTTGAGAACAGGTGGTTGACCAGCCGTGGCTGGAGAAAAACAAGTAAAAAGAACCTCCAACTCGTGGTCCTCCCAGCGGGACAGGGTCAGCGACTTGACCTTGCTGATGTCAGGAATGTTGCGGTGAATTCCAGAGCAAGCCAGGCAGATGAACACTCCCAGGGTGCAGGAGCCCCAATTAGGGTCTGCAGAGAGACAGATGGAGAGAACAGTTACAGTATGGTAGGGCACTACCTTTGTCAGACACAACAGACCGAATCTGAAGCTTCATCAGATATAAGAAAAGAGACAGTATGTCTATATTTGATAAGCTGGATTCACACAGCATCACTGCTCTCTTGTTTGTTTTCTGCATGGGCTTTTTTAAATGACTTGTATGACTTCTTGACTAGCTGTCTGTCAATTTTTCCAACCAATACATTTACTGAAAAATGAATAGAAGCCTTAAGGCTAGTAAAAAAGTAGTAGTGTCCAAAATGCACATTATTCTTACATTTTGAAAGCTAAATTTAAAAAAATATTTATTTTAAAAATCCAGGTTAACATCTTTAAGTTGTCTTCTGTGGAGTGTTTTCATAAATGATTTTCATTCTTCCAGCTTGATAATTTATGTTTTATCTCCTTGAGATTTAAACGTAGCAAACAACGTTTAATGCATCACTGCTTAATAGCATAAGAAGATGGGGCTTCCTTTTCATTTTTGTTGTGACAGAGATTCTCAGTATGCCAATATGCAGACTATATTTCAAGGTACCAACACAAGCTAGCAGTGCGTTGCTACATTTTAATAGTAATTTAAAGATTAACATAGCCACTGTGATGTCACCCTGAAAATCTATGGACATTTGACGCCCCAGTATTAGTGTTTTAGCCTTGCCATGTAGTTTTTGGGGGGTTTTGGGACAAGAAATAATCTAATTTGGGGGCGCTAAGTTGGCTAATGCTAGCAGACTTTGATTAGCAAGCTTCTAAGTATATGTGTGCTTTTCACAGGTACACACATCTACCTAAGTAACAGACAAATAAAGAAAGAAAGAAATCAAAAAGCACAAAATATAGATGTAAGGTTCAGTTCAGTGACTCAGATTAGCAGAGGTAAAGCCTAGCAGCCAGCTATTAGCTACAAGAGCCTGTGTCAGCATCCACTTGTAATCTCAATGTGGCCACTCTTCAACTTAATCATTAAGAAAATCTAAATACGTGAGCTATTAAAAATAAATAAATAGAATTTGCCACCTTAAATTTGCTAGGAAAGAAAATTTACAGACCCAAACAGTCCTTTCTTTTGTGCCAGACTGTAGACATTGTTTTACAGTCATATTTGGCTCTTTAAATACTGTAAATTTAGGCACTTTAAACATAGGCGACATAAACTCTGCAAATATCAGCCAACACCTGTTGCAAGACCTAGACAGCTGACAGCTGGAAAAATTTGAACATATAACAAACCAGTTATCACTACAACATGCCTCACACTGTTTAGGCTCACACTAAACAGGAGAAAGCATTTTGTCCAAATCAATACAAGCCTTATGTCGGCAAGCATATTGAAATCTCTGAGCTTCCAACCAGATCAATGGTACAAAGCGACAAGCCTGAAACCTATAAGGGCAATTTATCTGCCTCACCTCTAAGCTCAAAGATACGAGAAACATTTTCTTTGCTCTGGCCACACCTGTCTTATCTTTCTGAGAACCTTTCGAATTTCCTAGTAACCAGCGCGAGGGAGGCTTGGTCTTATCAGTATAAATCACAGATGTCTGAGCAATGAGGGCAGTGTTTAATTTCCCAACCATAGAAGGCAGATTGGAATACAATGTGCCTGGCTGGTTAATACTCATGCCTAATTTTTTGCAATGTTTCACAATGGGCAGACACAGGAGAGTAAAACGAAACCAGCCCACGTGCGCACGGGGCATCAGAAACATAAAGGGATTCCCTTTAGTCTCTAAAACTGAGGATACATAGTAAATATGCTTGAACGTAGCCAGAGCCGATGCTGGGAATCGGTAAAACCTGTCTTTGAGCAAGGAAGTTCCTCTCCAGCAATGCATGCCTGGCTTCTCAATAGTTTTTTTTTTTCACTATACAAAGATTAGGAAGCGAGATACTATCTCTCTTACATGTCTCCAGGGCATACATTCAGTGATTATTTTGGTTTTTTTCCTTCTGATGTACTGAAACACATTATGTGCTGTGCATGACGGCTCTCAGCATACTGTAACACATACAAAATGTAGTGCCAGCATGTTTGGGCAAAAATAACTTTGTGCCATTTTAACTGCCACAGCAGGTTATTTCTTCACACATGGATAGCTTGTATAACCTAAACTACTGCTCCACATTCCACACACTGACTAGATAATCTGTCAATCACGGAAGATGGCCTTACAGGCCTTCAGTTTCTCTTGGTTTTCTCATAGATACTTTTATATTTGCATCATCCAAAGGCAGAGGCCAGAGGTAATTATTTACCTACATTGTCTGCTGATCATTTCTTAGCACAAATAATCAGCCTAAAAATATATTTAACAAAGACAAGTCCATTACAACAGCCCAAAAGAAAACCTATTGTTATTATTATCATTAATTATCCACTATCTATACATCTTATACACAGATATGGCCTCTTTATAATGGAGTTCCCCATATGTCCCCATTGTGTAAATAGTTTCTATTAAAAAACCTATAACCAACTAAAACAAAAAAGATCACGAAGAAGACCTCCACTGCTGAGCTCGAGTGGATAAGGGTGTGTGCAGGCCCTTGTACTGCATGTCGAGACATGATCAGCGCTGAACTTCTCTTCTCTTGGCTCCACCACATCGCTTCACTGCTTCAGCTGCTATCTTCTACACCTTCAGGGAAACTCCTCCCTCCGTTCCTAACTCACCTTGTTACACTTACAGTCAGAACAGCGCCGAGCATGCCTGGAACCCTTTGAAATATGTTAAAGGTCTAAGCAAGCATTTAATCCTATGCCGTAGTGACTGTAGCATAAAACGAAGGAGACATTAAGGTGCACTTTAAAAAACGGCTTTATCAGCAACGTTATCATAGATCCCGCATAGTCTGACTTTCCACTTTCATAGCTAATAAAGGCTTCTTCTCCCCCCCAACCTACCTGGTGCGCCACAGTCTGCGCAGGCGTCATTTCCAGGCTTCTGCAGGATCTCTCTGAAAGCTCGGGTCGATCTTTCATTTGCGGACATTTCAGCGAGCTGATCTGTTATTCCTCCGCTTTCAGAGAGCGGTAGAGACTGGGATGGGGCGGCGAATAGCCAAAAAAACAGGGAAAGGTGTGTCTGCTTGGGTTTCACTCCCCTACTTGGGGTGCGGACAAGTCCGCACAGGTGGCCTCCTCAGCGCAGAGGTATGCCTCGCATTGAAGGGGATGAAAAAAGAAAAGAAAGAACGTGAACTTCAATGTTCTTCACAAAGTTTCCACAGCAAAAAGTCCCAGTATCTCTCTTTGTTTGCTGAGCCCAAAGCCCACTAGTGGCACTCTTCAGGTGCGTCTTCAGTCTGGGACTGGCTGAGCGGAGCGGATGGCATGAAACTCTACACTAGGAAGTGAAATACAGAGGTTGTTGAAACTTGCTTTTCCGCATAATTCGAGGTTAGATTGCATACCGCACCGGCGCCAACTACACAGGGCTTATTCACTTAAAAAGCGCCTGTCGGACTATTATAGGCCTACCCGGTGAATAATGATAATGTAAATCACTGCAGATTTGGATCTGATGTCAAGTCAATACAGAGTCAGTATTGCCGATACTAATAATGGCAGCTTATGTATGGAAAAGCAATGTGTTGTGATTTATGAGATGAATCATCATTAAGGTATCAATTCACACACATTTTAATGACCAATAAATCACTGTGATTTTTCCAAAATACTGAGTAATACAACAAAACACAATTCAGCTTACATGGAATATAACTGTGCCTGTCTCTAAAGGGTCTTTGGGTCAGCTTCTGTTGTTTAAATCTGCTATAGGCAGTAAATAAAATAAACTTGACAGTTAGCACGAAAAGGTTCAGGCATTTTTCATCGCGCATGTTTGAGGTATATCTTTTCATTTCCAAAAAATATTGATTTATTTATTCAGTGGGCTACATACTGAACCCCTAAAATACCAATATCGTATGTTGGTATCAACACTATTGGTAGTTGGATCAATCTGCGGACTGTAGTTTAAATGTATATTAAAGCATGCTGTTATCTTTACTCCAGCATAAAAGAGTAGAGATAACAGGATGTGGTTAGAATATAGGTTTTGGGTTGTTAGTGCACACAGCAAAGTGCAGCTGATTTTAACACCTTTTCACCTTCTAGATAAGTGTTGTCTTGTCTCTGACAGGAAACACAGAGAGCAGGAGTTTCGAACCATGATTCTGCCCCTTTATTCTATTTAAGAGAAGACTAAGTTTGTGGCAAGTGGCTATTTGGGGGAGGGGGAGAGGGGCTTTTGACTTTGTTCAACAGATCTTCATATGTTTAAAAAAAACAACAGAAAAAAAACATAAAGATCTGTGTAGAATTTGACCAGACTCTCATTAACCACCAATGGTCTTCTCACTCATGTTGTTGCAATTGAATGTCGGAAGTTTCTGCAGCCAGGTTTGGTAAAAGGTAAGCACCCAAAAGCTGTTAAAGCAGACAGTCTATCCCCACATGTGCAAATTAAAAGTCAGCAACAACATGTGCATCTAATATTTATATATGGGACACATTTATCATTGCATCCATTTTGTTTTATAGCTTATTGTAGCTCCGTATTTGGCCTGTAGATGGCAACAGCTCACTACTCTTCTGCACATATGAGCACCAGGATGCCTCCTGTCAGTGCTGCACCTTTGTAGCCTCATATAATGTCATCAAATATCACTCTCCTACTCTCTGGATCATAGAGAGTGTGAAGCCCTGCTAGATGCTTAGGCTAGTGGGAGGGTGCCTGATTACACGACTAATCAGCACCTCGGTAGTCTTCCCATTACTTCCCAAGGAAATGATAATCTGTAGAAATATAATGGCAGGAAACAAAAAAAAGTTCCCTTGCACCCGAACGTTCACTCTCCTAATTTGGTTCCCTAAGTGAGACAGATAATGGTTAGGCCGATTTGACAGTCAGTGAGGGTTTGATGTCATTTTGCACTGGCGGATTTTCCTTGTGACAGCAAAAGGCTAATGCCCCTTTACCAAGCTCATTTGTCAACACCACTCCAGCAGAGAGTGGTTTGTCTATTTTTCTAATGCCTCAGTCCCTAAATCTTCTTTTTCTTCTGCCAGTTGTTGAGTTGGAATCTGAAAGCTGTCAAGTTTTGGGTTTGCTTTGCAGCAGCAAATTGATTTGGAGTAAACTTGGTGTCAGTGAAGGACAAGATGTGTTGAGGAACAACTTCAATCAAATGTTTTTTTCACAGATAAAAATTAATTAAGGAGTTGATTTTGTTATTGTGAGTGAAAGCAGTGACAGTTGTGTCTCGTATCTGTTATTTTTATGTTTGATACCTCTTTGACCCTCAGGAAGTCACAGTATAGTAAAGATCTCTGGAGTTATTTGTGATTTGTCATTGTATTTTATACAACAGTGTTTATTACTTGTACTCTTTCCTTTTTCCAAAAAGGAGTTGACAGAACACCATCTCCATGAAAATACTTGCTTATTACTTCTTTAAAAATTCTTAGTTTTCATAAAAAGTTAAACATTATTATTATTATTGTTAATCTCAAGTTGCATTATATTACCAAAATTATTCACTTGGCTGCCTTCACACACATGAACCTGAGTAACATCCCATCTTAGTTCATTTACAATGACAGCAGCCCACCTTTTGCAGCTATAACTCTTTGGAGCTATAAGGCTTTCCACAATGTTTAAGAGTGTTTATGGGAATTTCTGACCATTCTTCAGAAGCACATTTGTGAGCTCAGACACTGATGTTGGATGAGAGGGCCTGGCTCAGAGTCTCTGCTCCAATTCATCCCAAAGGTGTTGAGGTCAGGACTCAAGTCTTCCACACCAAGTGCATTCATCCATGTCTTTATGGACCTTACTTGTGCACTTGTGTGCAGTCATATTGAAACAGGAAGAGGCCATCCCCAAACTGTTCCCACAAAGTTAGAGGCATGAAATTGTTCAAAACGTCCCTGTATGCGTAAGTATTAAGAGTTACTTTCACTGGACCCGAGGAGCCGAGCCCAAGTCCTAAAAAACAACCACACACCATAATCCCCCCTCCACACAACTTTACACTTGGCACATCCAGTTGCACAATCACTGATCTCCTGGTAACTGACAAACCCAGACTCAGTATCGGTTATTTCAAAGATCACGTCTCCACTGCTCAAGATTCCGGTGACGGTGAGCTTTACATCACTGCATCCAACACTTTGTATTGAGCTTGGTGATATAAGGCTTGAATTGAGCTGTTCAGCCTTGGAAACCCATTCCATGCAGCTTTCTACGCACTGTTCTTGAGCTAATTGAAGGCCGCATGAAGTTTAGAGGTCTGTAGTTATTGATTCTGCAGAAAGTTTGTGACCTCTGCAACCTTCTGCCATGATTTTACATGGCCCACCACTCTGTGGCTGAGTTGCTGTTGTTCCCAATCACTTTCAGTTTGTTATAATACTGCTAACAGCTGACTGTGGAATATTTAGTTGTGATGAAATTTCATGAATGAACTTGTTGCACAGGTGGCATCCTATAATGGTACAATGCTGGAACTCACTAAGCTCTGAGCTCAACCCATTCTTGATTTTATACACCTGTGACCATGGAAGTGATTGAAACACATTGATTCAATTATTTAGATTACTGATTTAATACTTTTGACAATATAATGTATGCTTGAGGAAATTACAGCATTGTGCAAAAGTCTTGAGCCAATATTCATTTATGATCATCTTGCAAAGAGAAGAGAACAAAAAAAGGAAACATTCAAAGAGGAGCCTTGAATTTCTTTCAAGAAGCCTGGAGAACTGTTCCTGAATGAAATGACAAGAAAGCTGTCCCATGCCTTACATACATGTATATTTCCACTTTAATAATCAGAAATTTCCCTTTTTTCCCAGCAAAATATTAAAAAGACAAATACAGTATGTGTTATTGTCCCTTTTAACACCTAAATATACAG